CTGGCTGGTCGTGGTTACGACAGTTCGGATCGAGAGACGAGATTTTATCCAAATTGTGCTCGCTTCCCATTATCCGACTACCAATAACCTTCGAAACTTTTTCTTTTTATTCCAGCAACGGATTCATCGGTTATTACAGAACGTAAGAGGGGGGGGAATTGTTTGCTCTTGGAGCAAAGAGTCGTCCTCCTAAATGAATAAATTGTTGGAAAAAAAAAAAAAGAAAAAAGAAAAAGGAGAAAGAATCAAAGGGATTGTTTGGTTGGGGATGTCTGGTGGAATTCATAATGCCGTATTGGGAGTGTTGCAATATGTGTACGATCATACACCAACCCCGTGGCCGAATGTAATTAGTTTTTAGCCCCAAAGCTATGATAGGGGGTTGGCCTAGTCCTGCACACTTTTCCTAGCGATCCGACGAGGGTGATTGCGCGCCAAGGGGTGGTTTCAGTTTGCCCGAGGCACCCTCGCCAAGTGCATCCATTGTCCCAGTGCAAGAACCCAAAAATATCCGCTTATCCGTTTCATCTCGCCGATCCAACTTCGTTTCTCTCGCTGGAAAATTTTATACTTTCCTCCTTTTTTTCATTATCGCTCTTCAAGTGTGAATTTGGATATTATAATTGCTCAAAGTGCTAAAACGTTTAATCTTCCTTCTGTTTAATAATTGTAATAATTGTGGTTACGAGGGATTAAAAATGAAGAAACGAAGTCGTGAGAATTTTCGTTTCGACACGGATATAAAATAACCGAGCGTTAATTAAGATAATTTTTCTTGTTTTCGACGTCGTACAATTTTATCCTCCACGTGTTCTTAAACGTAATAATAATAATAATAATAATAATAATAATAATTTTGGAGGAAATAAGGAACGAACAATGGCCGGCGAGACGTCGCATCCAGCCATCATTTATTCGTTGAACGAGCAATTGCCGAAATGCAGGCAAAATTTCCGTTTCGACACGGACGTGAAGTAAAGCATGACGTCGCGCAAGAGAAGGACGTTCCACGTGGACTGGGACTCCCCCAGCCACGAGACGGGCACAGTGAGAAGAAGGCCTGCCTCGTTCGACACGGCGCCCGTCTCCACCGATCGCCTCGAGAACGTCGAATATTACGAGCTTAGGGATTGCGTGGGTGGTTACGGCTTGACGCTTTTGAAATCGATCGATCGACCATTCGAGGATTTGCTCCCCGGATTCCTTGCCGCGGGATCGAAGGGGATCGAAGCTATTAACGATAATGGAGACCGCTCTCCTTCCTCTTGTAAAGAGGGTGGGAAGAAAGAGGAGGAAAAAACGTGCGAAAAAGATTCGAACGATCTTCCAGCGTTCTCCGATTTTTCGAATCGAAAGGAGGAAGAGGAAAAATTTTCGAGCGAGGTAAAGAAAGAAAGAATTGGAGGAAGGAAGAAGAGCGACGAAGAACGGTCGAAGGAGACCGTTTGGAAAATTAATAACGCGAGAAAGGATTTCGGGTTGAGGTTGGCGAGGGTTTCGGGGCCGACGAGAAGGAAAAGTTTGATTCCAAGGCCGAGAACGAGAAGATATGTCGGACGTGGCCTCGTGAATTCGAGCTCGGAGAGTTCGGGCATCGGCTCGCCTTTGTCGCCTTTGTCACCGTCGAACGACGCGTCGACAATCGCAAGAGGAGGTGGTGGTTCGATCAAGAGTAGCGGTAGCAAGAGTTCCGGTTTCGGATCGCCGGACGATCACTCTCCGCTGTCTCCGGAAAGTCAGAGATACACGGCGTTCTATCTGATCGAGCAGCAATTGGAAAAATTGAGAAACTGCGGGTGCGAGAGACGACAAGCTCAGGTATTGAAAGTATTAAATTTTTAAATCGAGTCGAATTAAACGTGGGCAGATCGATTTTCGTTACGTTTCGTTTCGAGAGGAAAATGGTGGGGGAAATTTGGCCTATTCGAGGAAAGGAGAAGGAAGGAGGAAGGATATAATTCGGAGAAGGCTATAAATCTTGTGAGTCACGTCGTTACTCCAGGGGTAAAGCAGGTCCCGTGGGTGTAGAACCACGTGGTGCGAAGGAATTACGTCCACCCTCCTTCGCGTTTCTCGAATGGCGCGGTCATACGCGTGTAAAGCGCGCGTGCTTCTCATTCATGAGGGTGAGGTTGTTGGTTAAGCGGCAACCTCGCCTCGCCTGTGTCACGTGCCGTTCGATCTTCCGATTCGAAACATCGATTCCGTGATTCGTGCTTTCGTGTAAAAGTATAGGCTTCTATTAGGCCTCCGAAAGTGGATATTTCGTTCTTTACTTCGAGACGCATAAATTTAACGTTTGACGAGCGTATATTAATAGGTTGGGGAAAGAAGATAATAAAATCCATCCAAGTATCTTTTGGAGTCTTTTAAGCGCGTAATTTATTTAGACAAGGAGAGAAGGACAGAGATAGGATAAAAATGTCGAGATCAACGCCATCTTCAGAGTGCCGCGAATGAAACGTAAAAAGAGAGGATAGAAAGTAATGGGAGAAGGACGGAGATGTAACAAGAATCAATCGTCAGCGCTATCTCTCGAGAACCAAAGACGTTTTCTCAATTATCTTTTTAAAAATACTCGAGAGATGGCGTTAGCGGTCGATTCTTACTCTAGCTCTATCCTTCTCTTCTCTTTTCGCGTTTCATTCGCGGCACACTGAAGATGGCGCTGATTTCGATATTTTTATTCTATCTCTATCTTTCTTCCACTGCTTACCCTCTTTGTCTACACTTGGCGTTGGCGCGTCGGCCAGAGAAAAGGATAGGAAATTCAATTTCTCGACAAAGAAATACAATCTCTCGATCTTCAATACAAAAGACGTAGATATCACATTTCCAAACACCAACTTACGAGAAATCGAATTCAAGATTCGATTCAAGAAGTAATATTAATTTTATAATCCATATATTTCATATTCCTTCAATTTGTAATCACTTGAAATCGCCAAGTAAGGAAAGAAGAAAAATTCTCCTCCCAAAAATTTTCGTTCGAATTCCTATATCCTTCTTTTTAGGTGAACCGAGCTCATCGACTATTTATTCCGCTTGGTTCGCCACCACCCTTCGCGTTGCGAAACCACGTGTAAGGGATACAATACGTTTCTCCACATTCTTTATTCCTTTTTTCTTCCTCTTCCACTTTTATACGAGCGAATCTGTTTTTTCACCCTCTCCCTCTCCCCCCCCCCCTTGATTCGTACTCTCTAGAAACGATCGTATCAAAATTTCCACCGCACGGAAAGCGGGAATAGAGGAGATAAGAGTCGGGTCACGAGTCGAGACGCAACTTTCTACGCGAATAACGATAATTTTATTACAAACGAATAAATGTATATGTAATAGATGTAGGAGGAAAGAAACGTATACTTTCGTACAGCGTCAACGATATTCTTATTCAACGACGATTGGCAAACTCGATCGTAGATATTACAAAGAGACGAAAAGAAATTGGACGCGTTCAACAAGTTGGAGAAAGAGTAGAGAATCGGCGAGACAAGAGTCGTCGAGTCTTTCCGTGGTGCGAACGATACGCCGCCATTTGGAGGACGGCTCGGTCGATAAAGGGGAACGCGTCTGAGGGATTCACTTTCATGTGGAAAAAGTGATTCGTAATAATCCCGAAGCCGGTGACACGTGAATAACGCTTTCCGTAAGCCATCCCTCCCCCTCTCTTTCGTAGCGGTTGTCATCGGCCTTCTCGCCAACCGTTTTTCTCCTCGGCCCGCGCATCCCTCCCTCGACCCGAACGATCGAGAGCCACTGGGTCGAAAGGGCTGAGCCACGCCGCTCCTCCTCTCGCTCCAGCCTCCGCGGCATTATTATATCGAATTCGTGGAAACGTGGAAAAGTAAGTGGACGACGGGAAGGCTATTGAACGAGGCTAGGGCAGGGAAACGAGAAATCGGGAGGCAGACGGGCGTAAGCTCGGCGTGACTTTATTAATTATTTCCACGACTCTCTATCTCTCTCTCTCTCTTCGCGCGTCATCGATCGCGTACGTCTCTCCTCGCCTTCAAAATGAAATTCGATCCGTCGAAAAATTGTCGATCCTTTAACACGTCGTTCGTCGCTCCGTCGCACCTATATATAGGTGGCGCTTTCTTCTTCGAGAAAAATAAGATTTTAACCATTTGCACTTGTATTTACATTTAAGAAGATTAAGTAAGAAGAGAGAATGTAATTATATTATACGTATATTTATATTAATAACGTATAATAATAAACGTATAATAATAAAATATAGGATAGTTAAAAGAATTTAATGGAATAAGCAGTGAAATAAAAATATACTTTGGAAAGAGAATTTAAAATTTAAGAATAATAAAAACACTGTGCATTTTACAATTTTAAATCTAAAATTATATCGTATATGATAACATAGGAAGATGTCTATATTACCACCGATAATATAGAAATGAGTCGAAGTTGCCAATTAGAGGCAACTGAAAGCAACTAATTCAGAATCTAATATACTAATGTATATAAATATAACCCGACTAACGTTTATCGCTCTGTTTACATTCTCACGGCCGTAACATTTGGGTCCCATTTCGCGAGGAACTGAACGAAATCACGCTGGCCGACGAACATGTTTCATTCATCTTTCTCTCCACTCTTACTTAGTTAACATGCATCAAAAATTTTCCGGTGCGCTGAACATCGATGTGCCGGATTACTTCTTCCTCTTCCCTCCCCCCTGCCTCGGAATTACCTCCTCTCGCAAAACGATCGAATCCACGCGTTATCTCGAGTCGATCGTTTTCGACTCGAAAGGAGAAGGGAATTAAACGAAACATCGGGTGGGGTGGGGGAAATAACCGCGGGTTCTCTCTCGTTCGGTTGTGCGCCCGCGCAACAATCGTCCTGCGGCGCATCACCGCGCACGCTTTGAAACGCCGTCAGTCCTGGCGGAGGATCCTTCCAAGGCTCCACGCGCCCGCGATACCCCTCGTTTCGAGTCGCGTTTCGATGAGATCGGCGCGGAGGAAAATGCGGCCGCGATGTCGGGGCTCAAGGCGATGTTCCCGAGGGGCGAGGAGGGCAAAGGTTGCAGGCGTCTGAGCGGAGGGAATCCCCCGAGTCCCGCCAAGGGATCCCCGCGTCGCACCTCCCCCCAAAGTCCCGCCTCGTCAATCGAGTGCAAGAGATCTTCGAGAAAGTGTTGGCAGGAGGAGCAACGAAACGAAGGCCAGACGCATCATCGCCCTAACTTAACCCAGAAACGTTCGCCGAGGAGATACGTGTTGGAGCAAGATTTCTCGCAGGACGAGATGGGCGTCCTCCGTGCTGGCTCTGCCAACAATAATATCAATAGCGGTGGTGTTGGTGGTGGTTTGAACGAGCCGTTTGGAGAAATGTCGTTCCTCGAGTTCGAGTCCCTCTACACGTTGGAGAAGGAGCTGATGCAGTCGCGGGTGGATGTGGGTCAAGCGGCGGTGGACGAGAAGCAGCGCGTGTTGGGGTGGGCGGGCGGTAGACGGGGCCTCTACACCGAGCTGCCCGACCCCCTCTGCGCCCCCCACCAGCCGCCGCCATCCTCCCTGATCCCGAGCGAGGGATTCAGCTTCGCACCCGGCTGGTCCCTCAGCGTGGACCACTTTTATCAGTGGCAGCGTCGAGGCAGGGCCACTCACCAGGTATCCACGAGAAAGAAGGAGAGAAAAAACGCGGTTATGGTGGATATTCTGTTCTGGGAATGAGCTGTCAACGGCACGCAACGCTCGTCTGTTTCTCGTTCGCTCGCGAGAGAGAGAGAGAGGGGAGGATGCGTCGCGCGCCGTTACGAATTAATTGAAAAAGCAATTTCGCTTCCAAAGCTTGCCTTCGCCCGAATACGTTTAACGCGTAACTCTCTCTCTCTCTCTCTTTTCACTCGTATTACCACGCGCCTTCGTGAATTCCCAC